GGGGATGTGTGGAGGCATTTCTGAAGGGAAAAAAAAAAAGGCCACGACTTTATCTTTTGGGAGGTGAACAATCCAGGCAGTAGTGCCAAGGCATACGTGACAGAACAAGTGTAGATTGTTCCTGAGGCATCCTTGGAAGGCCCAGGATGGAGCATAAGTGATGCTATAGTAACCTTTTGCAGAATTTTCACAGGGTGGTAAAACTACAAGCAGTGCAGAAGCTTGGCAGGGGCAATATGATTAATATTCATTTAATAATGAGCTTGTAACGCGTGAAGAATAGCTTCTAACCAAGCCCGATATGTATGCTAAGCACGTGGACAGCTGAAACTATATATGCTGGGCTATTACTCGGGCCTCGCTGCTGTGACCCGTGTTCCCTACAGTTCGCCTTGTGGAGAGCACTCTGGTTTCCCTTGGGCTGAGGAGTGTGCACGTTGCACACCCACTTGTTCAGCCCCAAGCCCTTGAGGTTCTGGCTTCCCCAGCACTTCTTGGTCTTGAGGCTTCCTTGGAGCTCTGCCACAGCAGCTCCCCAGCAGAAACTGCTTTGGAGACACCTCTAAAGGGAGAAGTCGTGGTATGAAGAGAACATAGGAAAGGATGGCAGCCACTGAGTGAGTTCATTTTCTTGACCTTCCTTTGGAAGGAAAGAGAAACTCATGTTTTGGAGGTGCTAAGTGTAGCATTCAGTTCACTGTGGGCTGACATAACTCAGAAACCTAAAATCAGGATTTGTATCATATCTTACATTCTGATAGTATCATTAGGGGCCAAATTAAATGAAGCCCCTTAGGAATTATTTATTTTACCTGAGCATACACTGTCTATAGGTATAAAGTCTGTCTTTCAAAAATACCCTTAGTTGGGGTGGGATAAGGAAACAAATTATGGGTTTGACACCACTGTGTTTTTCAGGGTGTGTGCCTGAAAGGATTAACCATACTTCACAGATGACTGAAGCTTGCACCCACAGTATTTCAACACTCTACCAACAGCTCATGCTATTTATTGAATTATTGAACACATTTTATGATAGTACTTAATGAACTAGTGATGAAATCATCTGAGTCCTATCTAATTTTTTTTTTCCCCTGTGAGGACTTTTTAAAATATTTGGACAAATATCAGGGGAAAAAATTTGTTACCATATTTCTTTGAACTGAAATGAACAATTTTTTTGCTGCCCTTCCATCAGTCCCAAGACTAGTTGTTTCACCCATTTTTAAAGATAGCTATGTACTACATGAGAGACTGAGGTCATAAGTAGTGTACTAGAATATGAATTTCATGTGGTGAGAATGCTGTTACATGTATTAGCTACTATTTGGATTAAATCCTACTCATCCTCTTCCAGGATACTGATTTGACAAATAGTATAAGTAGGTAAGCAAGTTCTTCACCTGTTCTGTTTCCCAGAGGCTGGCTAAATTTTAAAGTTAAATTCATGGGGTTATGTAGTTTATAAAAGATTTGTCAAGTTGCTTCGAAGTCCTTCAGCTGTTCAACAAGGAAGATGTTTCACTGTGGCAGTATAGCAGATTTTAGCAAATTATATCCAATTAGTGCTTGATAATGTCCCCTTGTGGAAGCAGCAGCCTGCTGGGTGGTGATAGGTGTGCTTGTGAAATATTTGGCCAGTCTTTGTTCTTGATAGCTTGTCAAGAGGGAAAGCATGATGATTATCCTTTTGGATTTATTGGTTTAATTGTATGAGCCACATGGACATGACTCAAAAATACTAGAAGTTCCTTTGATTTATTTTCCAGTTTCTTTGTAACTTAAGTGCTCTGGGTTTTATTATGGACAAACTGCACAGTGAGGTAAATTAGTTGCTTTGTAAGGCCTAAAGAATGAAAATGATGATATCAAACATAAAAAAGAGCTAGATGAAGACATTAAATAAACATATGCTGAAATACAATCCTGAGTCTTTATAGGGATCTACTGCAGTGACATATCATTCTGCACAGGGGTGTTTAGGAAAGCAGAATTTACAGAAAACTGTGAATTTGATGGTTTTTTTGTCAGACCAAACTCCTACGTATGCTGTTAATTTGCACAGTAGAAATGCAGGGAAAATGTATCAGCTTAAATATTTTAGGCAAACAACGATAACTGACTTTAGATTGTTCACCGGAATACTTTGCAGAAGTTCTAAGACAGGTGAGAAGAGGTTGTTCTTGCAGGCTGTGAAATACCCTCCTGCTCCATGCAGTTGGTGGCATTCAGAAATCCAAGCAGTAGTAGTTGGGTTTTTTGGGGTTTTTTTGCTATTGTTAAAGCTCCTTGTTTGCAGAAAGAGGCCATGAAGTCTTCTTTGTATCCCAAGGGGTACACTCTGCTTGCCTGGCAAAGGAAGAGAAAGTGATGTACCAAATTTGAAAGCAATGGTTCATATCCATCTAGTGGCAACTGCTGTGTCCCAGGGACCTAGAAACTGAAATCTTGCTATGCTAAAGATGCAGGGACCTTAACTTCAGAACCAGGAGATAGAACCGAGTGTGACTTCACTCCAAACAAACAGGGTCTCAACCATGCTTCATTGATAGTGGCTTCACTGATAATGAAGCCAAACTATTTTCCGCCATACTGAGTGTCTGACAGCAGATATTCTTCTTTTCATTGTTCTAGCATTCTTCTCAACTTTTTGACCCTTCTGCTTCCCAACACAGATAATTCGTCACACATTTTTCTATGACAACTTTGCCTCCAGTTCAGATAGAAACACAGCAATTAAAATCACAGAAGGGAAAAAGTTTAGAAAATTATTCAGCTTCCCCAAACTGCCAGAAAAAATATCTGATGTTAGATCTGTGCCAGCTTAATTGCAACAATGAAAACCTTCTATGCAAAATAATGTAAGGCATATAGGGTAAAATACCACATCCCTAAAATAATCACTTCTTAAAAACGTAATTATTTTCTTCCTAATTCTGGAAAGTATTTCTTGCTTGTCTAAATATATTTTACTTCTCTAATTTACAGTTCTCTGTGCAACATTTTAATAGTTTGGTATTTTTTCAATTCACACACCTTTTGTTACTTGAAGAGTTGAAAGAAGGTAACTGTTTATATAGAAGAGTTACAGCTTGGAAATGCTTCCTTCTTTAGTAGAGTTGTTGACCAAAGACGTTCCCTAAGATTTAAATTGCGTGGTCTCTCTCCTTTCTAGTGTTCTTGCAATGGAAGGAGTGTTTGTAGGTAGTGACCGTGTTATCATCCCTGGCAAACCTGCCCATTGTAAATGCATTGGTGCTTAGTAGTAGAACAGTTACAGTTTGTTGAAGCTGAGTAGACTTTGTACTGTAAACCAATAACAGCAATTTTAACAGAAGTACTTCATATCTGTTATATGCTTAAATTTTGAATTTTTGCCTATGCCTCTAACTTGACCAGACTTAGTAGATAGACTGTTAACTGTACTAATATTCAGTGACCTTCATCGCTTACAATGTGAATAATTGAATCATTTGGCTCAGCAGCGGTGGCAAATCTATAGAACTTATTTTAGCCAGCACTGCTTACAATAATGGCATTTTAATAGAATTCTGAGAAACTAATTGACATCCAAGATGCACTTTTTTTTTAGATTGAATTTGTAAGAATATTCATAAAGAGAATTTTAAAAAGTTTCAGAGTTTTTAATGTAATATTTACTGATTGATGATTAATCACCATTGTGCGTGCTGCTTTACTCAAGTATTTTATGGAGTAGGTGACTCATCTTTGTTGTTTCATCACAGTGCTGTGTATTCAAAATGTTCAAAATAGTAGAAAGTTAAATGGAAAGACAGAGGTAAGAAAACAAGAAGATGTATTGCTAGAAGTTTTCGCCGGAGGAAAAAGATAATTGAAATGTCATGGAAATGATTGTATAAATATCAATGGTTTTATACTTCTAATGTGTTTCACTTTCTATCATTTTGAACATTTTTTAAATCCCATTCATTAGTGTCTTCTTGGTGCCAAAGAATTAAGCAGTTTTTTAATATTAGTATTAAACTGCCTAATCTTCATATGAAGCTTTACTTATGTAGAATTCAAAGACAGCATTTTATTTAAAAAAATTGACAATATCTGAGTGCGATAAAACTATGTGGATTGCATTTTCTCTGTGTCGGTGATGTTAGAACATCACATCAGTTTCCATTGTAAGTTATCTGATAGTAAACAACCTCAGTTTTCAACACTGTAAATGCAGAATTGATCTGGATAGTTGTTCAATAATACCTGTACTCTGCAATGAATGTTAGTGCTACTTGGTTTACAAAAGTTATTTCCACAAAAATGTGGAGATTATCACATGTGGAGATTAGGTCAAGATTAGCTGAAGGGTCTACATGAGCTTGTAATGAGAACGGCTAGCTACTACTAGCAGGAACAGTCTTCCAGTACACTAATGGTTTATCCTTGTACTAGTTTTCCAAAATCAGACTGGCTAGTTAGCTGCTTTATTACTCAAAAGAAACCCAAGAGTTTAGAATTTACTGTTTATACTCTTGAGTTTCACATCCATTCCTTATGTAGTTCAGTTATGAAGTTTTTCTTGCACGTAAGGTTCAGATACATCATTTCTTGCTTTAGTGATGATTGCATTCCAGTGACTGAAGCAGCTGATTGGGACCTATTACTTGAAACTCTAAGTCCAGTTTAACTCCTGTCTCGCTTGACTTTGTGATCTTCAGTATATAGTTACATGCTGGGCTGTGTGTCTCCCGGATCAGTCAAGTAATGTGCAGCTTAGTCTATTTAAAACAGTTTTTAAGGGAGAATAAGAGTGGAGTAAGCCTTGAAAATTTGTTTTCATCATCTGTTTTACATTCAGTAACTTCCTTTTTGTGAAATCTTGGGGGTTATTTAATTACTTTATTTAGAAAGTACATTAAAGTACTTTTTCATTTTGCACCAGTTCTATCATCCACCTTTCTTTTTCAGCACTAATTGTGTGTGTGTTGATTTACTAATTTATTTTGTTTAATGTTTTTTTCCACCAACAGTCATACCCGTCCAATTACATGGACCAAATGAAGCCAAACAAATACGGTGTCATTTATTCTACACCGAGTATGTTGCACAATAAATTCTACTCAAACCCTGAAGGACTATCAAATGGAATCCAGATGGAGCCAGTCGACCTTACGGTGAACAAACGGAGCTCACCACCTTCAACTGGAAGTTCTCCTTCTCCCCTGAAATTTCAGACTGTGCATAGGAGAACTTCACCTGGATTGACTCTGTCCTCACCCAGTTCACCTCTCAGTAAATTCACACCATCACCCCCTGGAGTACAGCCTATTTCCATGCCAATAACAATCCCACCTGTAATGGCTGCTGCTCTTTCACGCCACGGACTGAGGAGCCCTGGAATACTCCCAGTGATACAGCCAGTTGTGGTCCAGCCAGTTCCTTTTATGTACGCCCCCCATCTTCAGCAGCCCATCATGGTGTCCACAGTTCTTGCAGATGAGATGGAAACTCCAAGTAGCATGCCAGGTTGGTGTTGTCAAAATTTCCTTCATATGCTGTCTTATCCTGACAAAAATAACTATGTCCAAGCACTTCTTTGTGTGTTTTTTGCATTTTAGGAAATGGAACATAATTCCAGTTCTAAAACATGCAGGCATAGAATTTACTGTGTAAATATTTTACCAAACTTACCAAGGCCATATTCTGTCCTTATTTATACCTGCATAAGGCTATTACTTTACTGACATTTGGACTGATAAAACTGTTGGACTGATAAAAATAAATAGAATTGTTTTGAATCATAGTTCATTAGGAGACAGACTAAAACTGGAAGATTTTGTATTTTAGCATAAGCTATGGCACTAAATATAGAGCTGGAGGATTGCTTTTGTTTTATTTATAGGTTTTTACATATATTTTTTATTTCTATAGCTCTCCATATTTTTGACGTGTTTGCCTTTCCTCTCCTACCCTCCTCCATACAGTGCCTGTCATTGAATCTTATGAGAAGCCTACACTGAAAAAGACAATCAAAGTAGAGCCAGGAAGTGAACCATCAAAGACTGACTTCTATCCTGAAGAAATGTCACCTCCAATGATGACCTCATTGTCTCCTCAGCAAGTAATGGTGCAAGAGTAAGTACCTAACAGTAGTCCCAAGATCAGCAGAAGAATGAAAAGCAGCTCATTGCAGCAGTTACCAGTAGTTTTAGGAGTGGGAAGGAGTGTCGCTCTGCTTTAGAACATGTGACAAAACGTAGAAAAACATCCTTCCCCACCACTGCCACTGCAAAATGTGATTTCAACCTTTTTTTCCCCTCTTTAACCATACAGGAGTTGATATGTATTTATACATTGCAACCACATAGATCTGCCATTTTTAGAACACATTTCTAAAGTAATGCTAGTCCCAGTCCTACAATTTACTGAAAATAGGATTCCCAATAAGCCAGTGATACTTGTTTATGTAAAACCAGCACCCAATTGGAAAGATACTGTGAAGACATTTCATACTGATCTCTGTATTTATGTTAACCAAAATACCTTTCTTTAAAAAGATTCTTATTTTCTTTTCTTGGAGGCCCTCTTTGACGTTTAAACAAAATAGGCTACCTGGAGGAATGAACCTTCTCAGGCCTACAAGTTCTGTATATATATCCAGTCAAATTCCATGTTTACCTGAGGCTATTGTTCCTTGGGTGGTTTTTCTGGCAGCTCAAACAGTTCCTGAAGCTTGCTCTCCTCCCAGCCACTTGTTTCCATCCCAGTACCAACTCATTGTGCTGGTACAACTGTTACTGGGGCCACTGCATGAACTGGATCACAGATCTAATTGTTTTAAAACAGGCCTGTTTGCAGAAGGCAGAGCAAAGGGCTAGAGTGAAGCGTGGGGCACAAACTTTTTAATTAGAAATACTAAAAATTTCCCAGGAAATACCTGAGGAGCCATGGGCACCCTTCCATTTTCCTGGGAAAAATTCTGTCAGCTTTCTAAAGTCATGGAACGGTTTGGAGCCCAGCTCATCCTTCAGCAGGCATTGCTCTGGGCAGGCATGCAGGCTTCTGGGCAGGCTCTGGCAGGAGCTAAAGCTGGGAACTGAGCTGGGTTCACAGTATGTGACCTCAGAACCCATTTCTGTCCTTTCTTCCTGCTCACTCATGCCCTCAGAGCAGTTTTAAAAGACCTTACCTCCTAGAGTGGGGAAGAACGGCTCCAAGCCCTTTGGGGGCTCCTTAAAACCAGTGTGTGAGTGCTCTTTGCAGGTAACTCATTGCCAGCTAGCTTTTATAAAGTACATGCTGTTTATGTAAAAGTAACCTTATATGTTTTATTATAATAAACTTATAATAAAATAGTAAACATCTGTGTTCACTAGGTGGTTGTTCCATAATGGGCCTGGCACAGAGGGGAGTCAGGCCTGCGTGTGCTTGGTGTGCTGGCTTGCATGTGCTCACTGGTGCTAGGCCAGGACTATCAAATGGTTCCGTTTACTTTTGTTCTTTGTTAGGCCTCTTCAACAAGAGCAAACCAGTAAGTGCTGTTCCTGGCTGATACCCCACCCTTCCTCCAGGGCTGAGACTTCTGCAGGCTTGTCACCTGCGTTAGTGATTTGTATTTAATTATTTCCCAGCAAGTCCAGTTTTCACAGGAAACCCATCCGCTGAGCAAAGAGCATAAAATTTGGTACAACATGTAGGTAGCCTTACAAGAAACATTTGAATAGCCCATGTTTCCAAAGCCTCTCCGCTCCTCACCCAGGCAGAGAATCGTTTATTGAGACTCTGTCTTCACATTGTAATGTCTTTAAACTGCTTCCCAGCTGTCCTGTAGAGCTGCAGTTCCTGCTTGTTCCTAAAGCCAGCCCATTCAAGTTTCCATTCTGCTGTATTTGCAACAAGATCTTTGTAAGTGTTAGATTTTGATAGTTTTTAAAAATACAGAGACAAATCACCTAAGTTACAAGAAGGCAGACCTAAACCTTTATAAAATTTCCTGTTGTCACACAGCTTCCTCATCCACCCTCTGCATTATGAGCTATAGTTAGCCAATGTTTTTTTATCTTTTTTCATAGGCTCCAACTGGCCACAGTGCACTATTCAGACACATAAGCTACATTAAAGTGGCATAGGAAACTTTCAGTCTCACCTCTAAGTGACTAATTTTGCTTTAGTGTTAGTTTTTGACATATGCATTATATACAGCATAAATTTGGTGGCATTTCTGTAGGGATTGCTGGACTTGCTAGTATGTCTGATATTTAATGTTAATATGGAGCTATTTCTAATAACGAGGTAATCACCTCTGACCAAATATAAGAAGCCTCATTAACGTATTTTCTTGTGAGTGCAAGTATCAAAAGTCTTAACTCATACTGTCAGCGTAGTGTGGTCTGTTAGTAAAGAAGGAGAAAAAGCTGTTGATATTACAGCATGCTTTCTGGAAGATTCTCTCATCTGTCAAAGGAAGACACTTAAATGTTTAGACTTATGTGAATTTGTATCTCGTTGTGTCAGAGCAGAATGAAACAATTAGAGCTGTGCTTCTATTACTGGCACTTAGTATTTACCTCTGATTTTTGATACCACCATAACCATTTTTTAAGACTGCCACACCCTACCTGATGATTGATAACATTCTGTAGTCTTGCCAGCCCCCTTTCCTCTAAAGGGAAAATGAGGCAGAAAAATTCTCAGTGCTTTTGTTACGCATTCTCAGATTGAAAACTGTCACAAATGTTGTACAGCAAATACACTTTGTCTCCATTTTTCCAGATGTTACCACGTCCAGGATGAGCCTTCACACATGGGGATTTAAACCAAGTTTGCTTACTGTCCTAAGTCAAAGCTTCTCCCAAAAGACCTGTATACAACAATGTTAAAACTGAGCTTTGCTTTAGAGAATCATTTCTTTGGAAGCTGAAAGCCTTTCTTACGAAGAAAGTAAGAGTTTGCACATCTGTGTCTAGCATCACCACCTAGGGTTTCCTGCCATTACAATATTTTTAGCTAGATTGAACACGTACGTGAAGAGCACATCAGTCAACAGTCACAGAAACACCCAAGAAAGAGAATTTGGCTCCAAATTTCAAGCTTGTAACTCTAATAAAAGAATTAATAATAGAATTAAACTTTTCCCGCATCGGTAATTCCCATCCTGCTGGTGTGGGGAGTAACAGTGGGTTTTGTGTTAAACCATGCACAAGCTTTTCTACCTTTAGCACAAGCCCTTTGTTTTGCTGAGAGAAGTTGGTGTTCAGTGTTTCTGAAAATTAGGCCCTGAAGGAACTTGGTTTAAGTAACAAAAACTAGTGTTATAAAACATAATCAATAAAGAAGTGTGAAATACAGTGACCGAGAAAACATGAGAGTTCCAGAAAGCTTATTTCTGTCACATGGAGGAGCTGGTTTTGCAACAAGAAATGCTAGTTATCTGCACATTATATACTAAGTTTCACTTAAAAGCTAAATAAAATATATATATATTAAAAGCATTGATACAGACCTGCTAACAGGTTGAAAGATGCAACTTTGTGAGGTTGCAAGATTTGTAATACCACTTACCTTTTTGAGGAACATATTTATTTCCTTTCCTAACACTGACATGGAAGAAAGAATCAAGGTTGTCCCCAGTTCTACAGTAGCAGTGGTGTTCAAACCTAAATATCCACAGTCAGTGACACCTTTTAAGAAGCTCAGGTGCATGAATGTTTATGCTTTTGCTTGTTACAGAGGTCCATATGTAGTTAGTACATGTCTTACCTGCACTGTACCTGTGGGCTTCAAAAGCAAAAAATATTTGTGAAGGTGGAGGGACAACTTCAGACATCCTGTGGGTGTGCCACACAGGCTAAACTCTACTTTTAGGAATTGACGTCAGTGGTATGGGGAGGCCGCACCCTCCTGCCAGCACCAAACAGGAAATTCTTAATTACTCTCTGAAGGAGTGGCTGGGACAATAAAGACTGAGTTCTGCTTCAAAACCCTAAAGATACAATTTCTTTAATAATCTGGAATAGCTGCTTCCTATTACAAGCGAATTAGTTACATTTGAAGAAAGAAGAAAAATTGTGAACAAATACAAGAAACGTTCACTGAACTCATAGTTTGAGAAATCTGGGTTTGACTGTAAAACAGGAGTTTGAAGAGGGTTATTAATTTGTAAGTTTAAAAAAAAGCTAGGGAATAGTAAAAATGGCTACATCATGCCGCAAAGTGAGTAAAAGTTTAAAAATATTACTGCTAGAGTACATGAAATTTGCTAAACCCTCTTGAATTTTTCGACATGTGTGTAATGTTGTTCTTTCTGCCAAGAGACAGAGTGGTGTTGAGTAAAGGGCTGTGTCATGAATCATATTAGCTGAGGTTTGCTGTAATACATGTTTTTCATTTTTAACATTCAGTTTGACTTTGCAGGAATCACCCTTCGGTTATAGTTCAGCCGGGAAAGAGACCTTTACCTGTGGAATCTCCAGACACACAAAGAAAACGCAGAATACATCGATGCGATTATGAAGGCTGCAACAAAGTCTATACTAAAAGCTCTCACCTGAAAGCTCACAGAAGAACCCATACAGGTTTGAGCATTGCTGTGCTTTTCTTTCACCAAGTCTATGGTAAAATAGCAGACTAAGCTTTTAGTTTATGCTAACAGCCAGGTGACCAGAGATGTAAATAGCAAAATGACAGAAGCTGAATCTGGCATTGTTCTGAATATAATTATAGGCTCAGCAAAGGCAGAGGTTGTAGCAGGAAAAACCCACAGCAGGAGACTGGAAGCCATAGCAAGATCAAGGTGTATGCTGGTACGCTTTACATTCACTGGCTGCTGGCTCATTTTCTGTCCTGTTGCTTGAAGATTACTCGTTCTGCAAACCCTGTAAACACCAAATCAGTTCAAGTTGCACTACCTCATCTCTTGCATCACTGTTAAATTTTACTGAGACATCAATGGGAGTAGCCCATTTGCAGAGTCTGGACTGTGCCAAACACAAACACATCTGCTTCACACAGACACACCAGCCACTGGTCCAGTAGTGCTCTTCCCTGGGCAAGTGTTTCAGTCACTGTATCCCCATCTCTGCAGAAACGCTCATCTTGGCACGCTGAATGAGTCTGTGTACATCCGAGGTTTTTACAAAGATACTGGACACGTTTAGGTAAAATGGAGCCCAGTTCCTGTCTGCCTCGCCTCAAGCCAGCCCTTTACCTGTTAGGTAGCTCAATGGTGTTAAAGAGAAGAAGGATCAAGGAAAGTGAGTAATTTTAAGCTGAGCTACTAGTGACAGTGGTGCCAGTTATTTATACTATACTAACTATAATAACTATAACTAGTTATTTATACTAAGTTTAAGAGATCATAAGATTTCTGCCTGCTGTGCTGAATGGTAGCAAGGGTCCTTTCCTTCAGTTAATCTAGGATACAAGGTCCTGATTTTGAAAATACTGGAACTAATGCTTAAACCTTCACACTTCTGGCCTTAGCGAGACAAAACAAGCCCTAATAAAGTAGAGGGAGGACAGAGAGACAGTAAATAAATTGTGGCAGGAAACAATTTTTTGATCTGTTAAATTTTGACTACAGAGTTTCTAGCACAGAGTACTCCGCAGCCCAGTGCTGTTTGGAGGCTTTTTTAGTAAGCATTAAAGTACTTGCTGCAATTTGACAAAGCAAGAGGATAAATGCGTCAAATATTTCACCGATGCGTTTGTATGTTAAATCCCCACTTCTGTGTTTCTTTTCCCAGGTGAAAAGCCATACAAGTGCACGTGGGAGGGGTGCACGTGGAAGTTTGCTCGCTCTGACGAACTGACGCGGCACTTCCGCAAGCACACGGGCATCAAACCCTTCCAGTGCCCAGACTGCGACCGCAGCTTCTCGCGCTCGGACCACCTCGCCCTCCACAGGAAACGCCACATGCTCGTCTGAGCGGCTGCTCTCCCTGACTCCTCTCACTCTTCTGTTTTTTGTACACACACATTTTAGTTTGGATTCAGCTGGTCTGAATCTCTGAGTTTATACCATTAAAAGCTTACCTATGGTCAGTAACAGGTGTTATCTAACCCTTCTATGTCCTTGCCACGGGTCAGACCTAAAGAATGTGAACGTTTGTTTTTGTTTTTGTTTTTTTTCTCCAGGGGATGCTAAGCAAACCCTTTCTGCAGACAGTATGTTTAATGTATTCCATTGTGAATAAGGGAATTTGAAAACTAATAGCTTCTGTTGGTTTCTTCATATAATCAACCCAGCATATACTGATGAAGTAGTAAAAGTTACAGAATATCCAGAATGCTAGCCCTTGCCAGAGACTTTTATTTATGTGCCCCGTAAGGGATACACTCTCATTTTATGCTCAACAATGCAATGACTGGACTCTCCCAACTGTGTTGATTCCTGCAATATGGTTAATACAACAGTCTTAGAAAGACACCTGATTTAGAAATCCCTTCTGCCCAAACAGTGAGCAACACTGTAGAAATAAATCTAAGCAATATAATTACTTCACAGAAAAACTGAGTCATAGTATCATTTACACCAGTCAAGAAGAAAAATTGGCAGGAATTGGTCCATACGTAATCATGTACATCTAAATAGATGTCATCTGCCCTCTGTATCATAGTGTAGTATAGATCTGTGGTTTTATTGCATAATGCCCTGGTAGAGCTGTTAAGTCAAGACCTTGTGTGAAACTGTGCGTCTGGTTTCTGTGCAAGTGTATGGATGGAACACACGGTACTCTCCTATGACATGGCATTAAATGGTATTCATAGAAACCTAACGCTCCTCATTTCAGGGGTATAGACTACCCCTCTACAATCACTCCCCCACATTTCCTCAAAATATTTTTTTTCTCTTTTCTGTACCTCAGAAAATAGCAATTGTTGTTTGCAGAAATGCTCCGAACTCCATTTTTGTGAGTGTCACTTCAATACCCTACAGTATTTAAAGCTATTAATCCTCAATATTTTTATGAGAAGATGGTATCAGATATGAAGCTCTTCTGATGATAAATTTAGTCATGTATCTGTTTTGGATAAAAACATACATCAAATCCTCCATTTGATAACTCTGATTTGTAACTCTGGTGGTCTCTCAACATCAGGTAAACTGAGCTTTCCTGTGACTATATTTGTTGCATTAAAACACATCAGAAAGTCTTAAGTCCCATGTCAGTTAGCAAACACCACTCCAGAGATGAAACAAAGTGAATTCAAGCAACCTACAGCTGACCCTAGAAATGTTCTCATGTCTCTGGAATCCCACCGGAAGGCGGGTTTCTGTCTTAATTAGCTGGCAGACTTTGTGACACTGACAAGGGAACAGGATATATTTCTCTAGGCTCTCATGAACCAGTGCATTTTGCTTCTTTTCCCTAGGTAAGGTAGACACCATTCCCTGCAAATTCCACCTACTGAAGTCAGATTTTTGTTTCTCTTCAAAAAACCCTCTGGAAAATGGAGGGTTAAGGGGAGGAGGAGTTTCATCAAACTCGCCAGGAGGTGGCAGGTGGAGTGTCCACCTGCAGGCAGGTATATCTGAGCTTTTGGAGCAGGTAGGCTGTGCTTCTATGTCACATGGAATCCAATGTCAAACTGAAATAATCCTGCAGATGGAAGAGTGGGAGTGCAAAGAGCCCTCCCTTGGTGACAGAACTTACCACCTGCCTGCTCTGCTGACATCTGCATACCCATAGAATTAGGTAAGGAGAGGACCTCTATTTCCGAGAGAAAAATGTTCCTACAGCAATTACTGTGAAATATGAAGAATTGTTCCAGCTGTTTAACAAATCTTACATCTGACAATAATGGAACTGGCCATTTCGTGTAAGGAGCCCTGAACACGTGCTCTACAAAGCGGAGCGCGGGTATTTGCGAAGCAGGGCTCGGAGCACTGCTGCAAAGCTCTGGTGAGGAAGCTCCGCAGGCTGGGTTACAGCACCACGCGGCCTTGTCACTGTGCTGGGGCTGAGGGAGTTACACCAGATTTCTCTCAGAACTGGCCCTCATCTATGGAGCTGAAAAAAAATGGGAGATTAATTGGTCTTTTGATTGGCTGGGTTGCTAAAAACCTTGAGGAACTTGCAAGGAAGAGAAAGATACTAGGTAGCAGCTGCACTAGAACAGGCTTTTTTTTTTTTTTTTTTTTTTTTTTATTT